CAAATCATACAAGAAATGGATTCGAAGTCTAAATCTTCCCAGTAACGAAGTATACTTTAGTGACTGTGAAGGTTACCATATGGGAATTCGAAATGCAGACGATCTGTTCTTTGCTGCGCAAGAAAAAGTTACGTGTGTTAGCCTTTTTGCACCTATTGACAATGAAGAATTGATTGATTTTGGCTCTGATTCTGACGAAGAATCCTCGTCACTGTCATTTCGTGGTCGGAGTCGCAAGAAGAAACGAACGATAAACAGCCGACCTCTAGATCGAACACCGTCCTCGTCTCCCCCTCCCTATACTAATTGCAACTATAGAAGCTTTAAAGCAAAATGCGGGAATTCCTTATCGGAACAACACCACTCACTCTCCAATCGTATTCTTAAGCCTTCCGCTCAGGATTTATGTCCATGGAACTGCGCAAAGAATTTGCAATTTGTAGCGTCTTCGTTTCTGCCTTTGAAAAACGAATGTGCTATTGACGCAATGTTTGTGGTGCCACGTGTCGTTGCAAAGGTACTTGGAAAAATATCAATAATCGTCAACTGCTGGGGTTTACTTTTCATGTTCTCTGCTTATGTTGGTCGTCACTTTCTGGATCAATAAATAAACTTAGTTGTGTAACTGATTGTTATTGCATGTACAAAGCGGCAGAAATAAATTAATTGTTGCAAAAGACCTAGAAATGTATGAAATAAAGGGGCAAGCGCAAACCCATTTTTATTTAGAGCGGGGAGTAGTGTCGTATGTGCTCAAATCGTTTAACTTAGACATGCTCTGCTGAGGTATTGTAAAGCTTGTTTAAGTACTGGAAGGTTTGATTATGTAGTGGTCACCTAACTGAAAAGATTCAAGAACTCAAAAATGAAAAATCTGGAAATGGTTTAATCCTGTAGGCCACAACATTCCACATTGGGAAGAGTTCGCGATACTCCGCAAATTTTGAGCCTCATTGACTTCATAGCATTTTCCACGATTGAGAAATTTTGTTCACACATTATTAAAAAGGTATTTTAATGGAACCCTTTTATACTCCATAGAAATTTTTGCAAGGATTATTGTAGTTGTGACGATTTGTCATACTACAACAGATACGTCAACATTTACAGCCACACATTTTCGTTATTTATGACTTCCGAGATTTCGTTTGGTGAAAGCACAGTATTCCGTACAGCTTTTTTTGACAAAGCACTCATGCCTTACTCATTCACTTTAGTTTAGTTCAAAAAGATTCGATGAGTTACGGCTCATCAAATGCG